CTGAATTCATCTAATAGACAAGCTAAAACAAACTTTGTTCACTCTGCATCACTGAGTTCTTTTGAATATATGGCTAGGGGATGAACCAACATTTTAGCATTGTTAGCATTAGATAAAATATATTTTTGTATCAATTTGCTTTTAAAGTCTTTGAATTTTAGCTCAACAGATTACAATACAACATTCTTATATTCAGTTAGGATGTCAAAGTGTTCCTATAAAGAATAAATTAAAATATTTGAATAACATCGCACTATTGCATTCCATAAATAATAGACATAAACGATTAATAAGTTTCAGTTTGATTAATATAACTTATCACAACTAAATCCTATATATGATCCTTTAAATTTGCTAGAATGTTCCTCCAACTATTGTAATTAATGGATGTTATCTCTCGAACGAGACATCCACTATGGCTAGCCATATTCGATGCACCACTTAAGATAGGCTGGCCATCAGCATTGAACTCAACATGTATTTTTTTTTCTTGTTGCTTGAAGCAACTTAGAATATCCCTTAACTTTTCTTTCTTTTTCAAACTTAGTATGTCAACTAAATGTTCTTTTTCATATTTGGTTGAGGTAGATATATGTTCTTTAAAAGCTATTATATCAAGTAATCTATACAATTAAATATGGAATGGGATAATTAGTCTAATTATTATGCATGAAAATATAAGAAGATTTCATCTAATTGTCAAGTGATTATGTACAATTCAATGGCTACTTCATTGGACCTAAAGATATGCCACATTGATTTAATTCATGATGAAGGTAGTTTTTTGTCAAAGTAGGGAATTGAGTTTGTAAACTATCCATTACTACCGAAACGTAAAGTATAGTGAAATCATTTCTGCAACATAATTGACAACTTGCTTTTTCATTGTTAAATAAGTATGCAAAAATGTGGTGACAAAAAAAAGGATCAATTACCACAATAATTGGCTTTATAATTGCAATTACCATTGCAAAAATAGAAAATAGTTGAGTTGACCTTAAATTTTCAACTCCTAAATCATTTAAAACTCATGCACACATCTTTGTACCATATGAAATTAGTAGTAGAGGTGCTTGTAGATTTTTAACCCATGGTCTAAAGGTTGTGAACTAAGAAATCTTTCATTGCACTAGACAAAAGCTCTTAAAAACATTTTTTTTTCTCTTAACATCACAACAAGTAAAACCCAAATGCAAAATTAAGAAAAACTTGACATGTAAAAACCTTGTAAAGGTAAAAATAAAAAATAATCAAAAATACCAAAAATGGTGGAAAAGAAGCAAATGACAGTGGCAATAATGGCTACGAATGCGACAAGAATTTTCGGCCTAGGTTTTGGAGTTTAGGGTTTATCCTTTGTTGCCTTTAAAATCGATTTTAGGCTTCTGAATGGTTTTGTGAAGTTCATAAACAAACCACAAAGATTACATTTCTAGGATTATAAACGTAGTCTTTGAGAATTTTTTTTTTCAATTTCAAATACGACATTTTTTAAAAAGAAAGATTATTTTTATATCAAAGACTATGTTTGTATATTCCTAAACGGAGTCTTTGATTAAATACTACTTTTTTATATTTTCAAATCAAATATTGTGTTTCTAGGATTATAGATGTAGTCTTTGTGATTTTTTTTTTCATTTTAAAGATGACATTTTTCAAAGAGAAAACATCATCTTTATATTAAAGATTACGTTTGTAAATTTATATATGTAGTGTTTGACTAGACACTGCATTTGTATATTTTCAAGTTAAAAACTACGTTCCTGACATAAAAAAGGTCGTTTTTAACTAAACAACATTGTTTAGTTAAATGAAACTACTTCATTTACATGTATTAAACACAAAGTTTAGGGTTATATAAATGTAGTGTTTAATATAAAAATTACATTTTATATAAAAATAATGTAGTCTTTGATATATTTTACTTTTTATTTTTTTAATAACAAAAACGTAGTTTTTTAGTATATTTGACTTCATATTATTTTGGTAAAAAACTACATTTATATTTAACAAAAATATTATTTTTGTTATATAATGAAGGACATTATAGGAAAAAGTGTTCATAACATAATTTAACTTTTCCTTGAATCATATACAGGAATATAATATTCACATATCAGGAAGAATTAGCCCTTGCAAAGAAACCACACTTTTTAAGGATTATTTTTCCTCTCGAAATTTAAGATTCTGTAAACCAAATGCCCCTTTTATACATTCATTATTTAATTTCTATTATTAAATCAAATACTAATTAATACTCCACAAAATTCCAAAATATTTTTTTTTCATTCCTCTCCCTCATTTTCTCTTACTAATTAACAACAATATAATAGTTAATTAATATTATTTAAAAAAATTACTTTTTTGCACTTTTAATACATTATTCTCATTAAAATTAAAAAAAATATTTTATGGATTTGGATACGTAGAAGTTACCACAAGACTTGTATTTAAAACACAATAAAAAATCCTAACTATAATCAAATTTATTAATAAAAAATAGATTTATCCCATTGAAATATTTAAAACAAAATATACTTAATATATATATATATTAAATATAAAAGTAAAATTATGTATTTTGTTATTTAAAAACAGGTAATTTTATTTATAAAAAAAAACTTACGTTGTTTATTTTTAATTCTATAAAATATATTTGTTTTTATATATCGGTTTGCACTTTTTATTCTAATGGCAAAAAACAACAAACACCTATATAGGGTCTATTAATAGTTGGAAGTAAAACTTTAATTAGAATACTAACTAGTGTTTATAAAAAACTACAAAAGGTGACCATTTTGAATAACGAGAAACTTTTCTTTCCCTTGTAGCTCCATCCACTTTTTACTTTGAGATTTTGATAGAGTACCTAAGTTAAACTTTGTTCTTTCGCTATTTTTTTTTTAAAAAATGTATCATAGATTTTTGTAAAATTTAGTCACTCTAATTTAATTCAGAGAAATTTAATCTTTAAAATATTATGATTTAAAAATTTCAGTCCAATCATTAATAATATTAAATTTTATTATTTAAATGGCTGAGGTGTTGTCAACAGTATTAAATCTTTACATTTTTTATTAATATTATTGAGTTTTTATTTTTTATTTTTAAATAAACTTTTTATCAAAATTTAATTTTTTAAGATTTAATCAGTTTTTTGCGTTTTTTTTTTTTTGTTTTTCATGTATTAAAAAATTTTTTATATAAATTTTAATTTAAAAATATTCAATTTACCAATATTAATCAGCAGACTATCAATGGTTTTCTAACTTTCATGGATTCAATGTAATTACTATGTTAATTAATGGGTAAAATAATAAGTTTAAAACATTAATAGGTGTCAAACAACTAATCTCTTAAGGGTACTTTTAATATAGAGTTATAAATTATCGATACAGATCATAAACCAGATCCTTTATTTTTTTATTTTAAAATACCAAAAGTCCAAGGATCGGTTCGGAAACCAAAAATTGTACATTGGGGTCTTGTTAATCTATTTCGATTTTTTGCATAGTCTCCTCCCTTCCTTTTCCTTCGTTTTCATGGGTTGGTTTTTGTCCAGTGAATTTCAATTCCAAAGTTATCATGTGAAAAGACAAATGCATACATGTTATAGTTGTTTCTCTTCACCTTCTTCGTCAAAGAGAAATTGACCATCCAAATTTAGTCGTCATTGCTTAGCATTTAAGAGTATAATTTTTTGCATGGATGAATTGAGTCTCCCTCATGTCCAGTGTCCGCTCCACTTACAATTTGCTCAACATGGAAGCATGTGCACTAAAGTGGGTTAAAATTAAAAGAAAGAGTTAGCATTTGTTTCCCTTGTAGTCATGTAGCTGAAGTGAGGCAGCTTTCATGTGAAATACTCAAAAAATATAACCCAAAACGAAAAGAAAAATGATCTTAATTTGAAGTAAGAGAGTGATCGGAGAGGAAGGGCAAAGCAATGTCATGGAAGGTTAGCCGCCACAATTTTGGCGTGCTCCAAAGTGGGCATCCAAATCCAATGTAGCCATCCATTCAGGGGATGTGACATGACAAAACCCACAACACAACAAAACAAGGGGCGGACCCAATACTCGCCCCGCCCTCATTAGTTACATTTAAAAAGTTAAAGCAACCAAATAGTAAATTAACAAGCGGGCGGAAAGGTTAGGACTATAAAGCACGTGCTTGCTTTTCACCAATGTAGAACTAAATTCCAAGCTCAAACCCCCCTTTACCGTCACCCATCTCAAACAGTCCAATAGTGGTGCACCACATAGTATGACTTTGTGGATCAGACGGAAAGATGAGATGAGAGGAAAAGGACGGAAAAAGGAACCTATCAAATCAAGTAAAACGAAAGCAAAAGGGCATCCTTCCTTCCATCCACCACCACAGCCACATACAAAGGTAGTGGCAAAGAGAATGGAAAGGAGCTGTTAATTAAATGAGAGAAAAAAAAAAAAGAAGGAGAATGTGGGTGATTAATGGGGTCCATGTTTTCTTATCCTCCACAACCACACCCACATCCCCCACTAAATTAAATAAGTTAAAAAAGGGAGAAGGAGAAGACATAGCGCAGCAGCGAATATGCCAAGTTGACGGTAGAGAAACGCTCACCTCCCCCACCAGCCTTTTTTTTAATCATTTTCATTCCCCCCCCCTTAATTCATTTCTCAGAATAGTTTCCATTAATATGCAGACATTTCCCACCAATTATTTATCTCTCAACATCTCGTAAATTATTGTTTAGATATAATTGGACCCAACCCAATGGCCACGTGATTTTAATCTGGACCAGGCAAAGACTACATCAGGATTGGTGGAAACTTAGAATATGCCCATGTTTTACATTATTAAATTAAAATATTTATTCTCAAATATTAGACAATTAATTTAATTAAGCAAGAAAGTCTTCATTATTGGACTGCGGTACATATTTAATTATCAATGCTTGGTACTCACGATAATTTTCGTCTTTAAGATTGGATATTACTAAACCACTTGACCTTGTTTATATCGTTAAAAGGGTTAGGCACATTGGACGGTCCTGATTCATGATCTAGGAAACCCAGTTTAATTATTATTGTAGATGTTGAACATCAATGGGAAATGATGTAACTTTCAATAAGTCCTTGCAGAGCCTTGTAACACTTGTACCAAGCCCTTGTTGGAAGCCTGGAACAGAACAAAAACCCTATATACTATATCAACCGAAGCAGCCCTTTACCTATGTTTTTCTTATATTCCATTTCTCTCTTCTTCGTTTAGGATTAGAGAGCATCCACCTCTCCCCCCTTTTCTCCCTTCATGGAGTGAAACAGCCTTGTTTCTCTCTTTTATCATATTTTAATTGTTTTTGTTTTTTCATTTCACTTGAATCAAAAAGAAAGGTGAAGCAGGGATATTGGATATAGAAAAAGGAAGGATGTCTCGTAGCTGCTCTCACTGTGGAAACAATGGCCACAACTCTCGTACATGCGGAGAGGTTGCTGGTGGTGGAAGCAGTGGCGGAGGAGGAGGAGAGAACGGCATCATGTTATTTGGTGTTCGAGTCACGGAAGGATCGTTCAGGAAAAGTGTTAGCATGAATAATCTTTCTCAGTTTGATCAGCCTCGGGATTCTAACGCCGATGCTGGCTATGCATCTGACGACGTAGTTCATGCATCTGGAAGAAGCCGTGAGCGCAAGAGAGGTATAAGTTCGTAACATGTCTTATCAAAAAACAAAATATTCCTGATCTGATTATATCTTTAATTAAGCAAAAGGTTTTAAAAAAAAATGGACTGCTGATATTGATTTCTTGTTTTTCCTTTTTTTTTTTAATGTTAATTTTGTTCATAGGTGTTCCATGGACGGAGGAGGAGCATAGATTATTCTTATTGGGGTTGCAGAAAGTAGGGAAAGGAGATTGGAGAGGGATTTCGAGAAACTTTGTGAAGACACGTACGCCTACGCAGGTAGCTAGTCATGCTCAGAAGTACTTTCTCAGGCGAAATAACCAGAATCGGAGGCGTCGTAGATCTAGTCTTTTTGATATAACAACCGATTCCGTACGTATATATACTTCTTCTCTTGTTATATATACATATTCCAAATCCAAAAATTACTTCTTTTTCTTCATACTTCGTGTTACTATTTGATTTTTGTGCTGAAATTTGCAGTTCATAAATTCAACCATATTGGAAGAAGATGAAGTCGTCCACCAAGAAAACGTTTCGTTACCGCTGCCGCTGACACAGTCACAGCCACAGATGAGTGGATTTCCTATGTCAACGTTTCCAGTGACTTTAAGTCCGGTAGTTTTACCAGTCACGGGAGAAAATAACTCCATGGAGAATCTCACATTAGGGCCGAGCCCCAAAGCAAAAACGTCTCCAAAGCTTATCCGTCCAATACCAATTCTTCCGGTTCCTCCATCATCGAAAATGGCTGATCTTAATTTAAACCAGAAGACCCAAGTTGACCCCTTGCCTCTATCGCTAAAACTCTCAACGCCATCCGCCGATGAGCAGTCAAAGGCGACGGCAGCAGCGGCAGTGGCAGCAGCAGCAGCAGCACACTCGTCTACTTTTCAGGCCATGTCAAGTGGGGATAGCAATAGCATCATCAGTGTTGCTTGAAAAGGGTGAAGCAGATATGATGAGATTACATTAATTATATGAAAAAATGATTAGATTATTAGGTGATTAGGTGAAATTCCTTGTTTTGTACAGGTTAATTATTACTTAATTAGGGGAGGGGTCTAAAGAAAGTTGGGTGTCGTTGTCTTTGATTACGTGGGTTGTATTCTTGTTCAGTCTGTCTGGTTCCTTTCAGTGGGCGAAATGGAAGGGCACCAGGTGCTCTTCTCTGTTCATTTTGGTTTTTAGGAGCTGGGTATCCTATTTATGTGATTGCCATTTTAATGCTTTGCTGTTCTTTTATCCGATTTGTGTTTCTGTGATGGAAAATGATCGGGGCTGTTTTTCATTCAATCACTCAAAGAAAACAAAGCTAGGTATGACAAGAAATCTATGATTCTTTGTAAACGAAATGACTAGCCAAAAAACAAAGCTAGGTATGCTAGATAATAGCATACTACTATCAATTTTTTTTTTCTTTATTTGAATAATAAATCATATGCTTAATTAAAACAAAAGCTGAATCATCCCCTATTTATATATATTATATTACTATACATCGTTTCAATTTTCAATTGTTTTTTAGGAAACTGTTACATATTTTTTAAAAAGATATTTATTTATACATAATTTCTAAAGTTAAAGGGTATTTTAAAAATTTAAAAACAAATGATACGATTTTTTCAATTTAAAAAAATTGCATATTTCTAGAAAGTTATTTATATAACATTAATTTTTGTTTCTAGCAGTAAACTGCAAAGAAATGAAAAGTTTTCTTGGTGTCCACGTATATAAATGAATTAACCACATGGTTTTTCTCTTCTAAGGAAGCAAATAATACAAGGACAGATAACAAAAACGAAAGAATTCACAACTATATCTGTTGACCCACAAGTTTTTACTTTTCATTCGGAAGTTTTTGTTGGTTAGGTGATTAGGTCCGCATAACAGCTTCACAAATTTCATATACATAAATATATATATATATATATATATTAAATTGGAATAAAAACTTGAAGGAGAAAAATAAGGCATATGTATGAAATGTAGCATTGCATTGTCCATGATTAAAAGATGAGATGGGGATTGAATCCAAGGTATTATTGGTGCCTAATTAATGCGTTTCAGCTCAATTTTTTTTTTAAAAAAGACTTTTGATTAATTGATTAGAGTTTTAATTAATATTAAAAAAAAGTAGGGATTCATATTTTATCACTTTTTGCAAATTTAAAAATAAAAGTGAAAATAAAAAAAAAAAGTCGACTTAACTGATGTGAGTAATCTGTTTAATTGAAAATTTGACCGATTCAATTTATTGGCGTTTTGTCTCATTGATTGGATGGTTCGATCCTTTTTTTTTTTTTTTTTCACATTGGATTTGATAATTGCTATTTTTATTTTATTTTTTACAAAAAAAGACAATACTGAAAAAAAATATTATAAGCGTTGAAGATGGAACCTCAACCAAAGGAAAATCCAAAAATTCCCATTTTCCTGCGGGCAAGGCAAGCCCAGCTACCTCCATCACATAATTAAAATTACCACTCATTCAACGCTTGTATGTTTTCCTTAGGTGGTTGAACGGCCAGTAGTAAACGTGTGAAGCAATATTGGTGGAAGGTAAATTGGTGTCATCAGCTCGACAGAGAATTCAAATTCAAAAGAAGAGCTGATTGATGCAATTTGTTTGAAGGTAAAGGCCGAGTCTACTCTTATCGTCTGTAAAGATCCTAAAAGCGGATGTACATGTTGTCACTGAAAACTATATATATGAAGGTGGATCAGTAGGAAAATATTGGATTCTCATTATCAAATTGTCCACTCTAAAATAACGCAGAGAGCTGCAAATCCAAACACAGGAAAGGAAATTGAAGCCAGTTATAACTCATTAATTACATGTAATCTGTATGTGCTTCTTATATATATATATATACATATATGTACATTGAGTCTTAATTATATCAGACAAGCAGTTCAAACTGAGTAGCAGAAATGCCAATAAGGCAAGTGAGTGGCTAGCAGCCCAGTCGTGGACCGGAAGGTGATCAATGTGCAGATAAGGTTGGGTAAGGCAGCCTTGAATTCCATCCTCTTGTTCATATCTGCCTTCAGGTGTAGTGATCGCTAGGAGAGCATACGAGGAATGGTTTGTTGTGTCTTTAAACGTTCTTCTATGACGGTGAACTTAATTACTAACAATATTTTACCTATTTAGTGTATAGAGATTGTGAACATTAGTACATTAATTTTCGTTGACATATATATACTTTTCTATGTACGCATTAACATATGAATATAAATCATGATAAAGTAAGTAATTTGGTCATAATTTTTTAACTTTATATTTTCGGAATAGAATCAGAATTGATCCAATCAAATAATGGTTTGGATCGATTGTTGTTGTTATTTTTGTATGTATGTGTCTGTTATATACACGTACACGCTGGGGAGAGAACTAATGAGAAACGTTACTTCTAAATAAGGCAGGATACTTGGACAAAATTTATATGACGTATTTTAAATGAATTTTGTGAAATTATTTCTTAAAATTGATTAAATAAATATTTTAATAAAAAATCTAAAACAGTAAATTGATAGAGTTAAATGTAAAAATCAATAATATGTAAAAAAATTATAAAAAATATTATTTATAATTCAAATTTAATCGATATTTATTCAATGATAAAATTTTATCAATATTTTTATTAAAAATATTTATTTAAAAATATATATATCAAAATTTATTAATTTTTTTAAAATTTTACAAACTTAATTTATATAACAAGATCTTTTAATTTATTAATTTTAATTTTAATTTAATTATTTCTAGTAACAAACGTAACAAACTTCACTTAAAAATTTTCGTCTTGTACTTTTCATATCCGGCTAGGAGTCAATTATTAAATTCTCATGTGCTTTAATAATTGTGGTTTCCTGTTCAGGCCTATAAAAGTATTGTTTTAACCATCCTCGGAACTGACTTCCTTCTATGGACCAGTTCAAGAGAATATTGAGTTCTATTTGATCGATGTTTCGGCCTTCTTCAACCTTCTCATGGATGGCCCTGTTTGCATGCTATCAAAGCAGTTTCCTCCTTTGTCCACCAAAAGGTAAGAATGATAAGAGAAGTAGAGTTGTTAACCGGCTACGTGGTTGATACCGTTGGAATTGCCCCCATTAATGATATTCACCAAGAAGAGCAAATAACTTGCCAAAATTTTAGCATCGCCATGGTGGAAAAGTTATTTCTAGAAACCAATCCTTATGGTAATCATGATGTTGCAAATGTCATAAGAAAAATGGGCTTTTTTTGAAGAACAGGACTGGGAAAGAGTCTGTTTGTTGACGGTATGCAAAGTAGGCAATTAGATATTTCAACGAACAAAGCAATCTGTAAACTATTTCAAACAAGATCCTTCCATGCTTAATTTCTTTTATCAGCTACGACTATCACTACACTAGCATCGGAGTTGGTCGAGTTCAATTGCACTACGCAACGCAAGTGTCGAATTTCCTTTTTTCTTTTTTTTTTTTTTTCATGTTGAGTGTTACAAGTTACAGCACAACTAGCTAGAAAGAACAATATTCTTATGATAGGGTGATAAAGAATTGGTGGATTTCAATGTCGACTTTACACCATTGCTATTGCTCTATTTGAATATCCACCCAAAAGTGAAAGAGTACTGATTCTCATTTGTTTGAGTTGAGCTGTAACATGGAGTTTTTTAGAGACTTGAGATTATCATTTTCCCTTTTACAAGATGACCCATTTATTAAAAAGAGGCTTTAGGCAGGGATTCTCCCATCAAATGCTCTTCCTTTGTCTATGTTTGATTTTCTTAATGCTACCAACAACATTTGGTCCCATACATTTAAAAAAAAAAAGTTAGAACTACTCTTATCTTTTTAGAGCTAATATTCAAGTTAGAATCTCTCTCGATCGGTGGCAAACATCAACTTAAGTGCTCCAACCGACTGTCTACTTATCTGATACATCCTCAATTTTATTTTACGCATCGTCTTTTTCTCCATTTGTGGCGTTTCCATTTCCCCCTTCTACTACTACTAATATTTTCTTCACATGATTGTTCAGTCCTTGAATTATTAATTAAATGATTACCAAAAACTCTGCATATAAAATTTTACCTTTTGTTTCTAATAAGTAATCAATGTAGTATTCTGCTACAATTCAACAAGCTACTACTGGCACAGAAAGAAATTACAAAAATAATAATAATAATAATAACAAAGGATCAGCATGAATATGTTTCAGACCAACCAACCTCAACAGAACAGACTCCTTTAGACGCCCCAGACCTGTGCACTTTTCTCCTTCTCTTGTCCATAGACTCGCTTATTTCTCTCTCTCCAGATATGATAATTCTCCCCATTCTAAGCGCAACACAACTGAAATCAGTGCTTTCCCTCAAAGCCTACTTACAGCCCAGTTATCGACCTCCCTGGCTTAAATTGCATAACTGCATTACCTGCCTCAATATGTGCTTGGAGTAGCTGCAACCAAAAAAGATATGGTCCCTGGTTTCCATATCTTGCCTGCATAATACACAAACACCATCAACTGGAATTCCCCAAGAGTTGAGTCTATCCTTAGTATGGAGTCTGTTAACGACAGCCATCCAAGCAATTAATGAGTGCCTAGGAATGTGATGCTGGAACTCTTTGCCAAGCCACTTTCATCTGTTGAGGTCTGATTTCCGTCCATACAAAAGCAGTGGAATAACCAGAACCAGGAGCTTTCTAAACTAGTCTCCCTTCAGTCTGCTGCTGCAAAAATTAATTTGAAGGAGGCCTAAGTCGAAGTAGCTTCTTCCAACACAGCAACTATTCTGTGCTATAGGAGCCTGACATAAATTATGTACATAGTGGTGAATCCAAGCAATCCATAGAGAGACAGTCTGAGTGAGGTTAGACAAGAGATGCTTGATAATACAAGCTTGGTTCCAAGATAAAAAGATCTTTTAGCCCTAGAACCCCCACCCTCTTCTGACTTAGGATGCCAACTCACTCTAGCTCCTCTCGCTGAACCTTCTTGCCCCTTTCATAAGAAATCCGAGCATAGCTGATTAATTCTCTGGATTACCTTCCGCGGAAGAATAAAGTGTCCACACCAGAAATTTTGAAGACTGAAAAGTACGGACCGAATTAACTGTAACCTGCAAGCATAAAATAAATGCAAGCAGCCCAGCTATTAATTTGTGTAATAACCTTCTCAATTAATGAGGCACAATGTTTAGCTGTAATCCTCCAGTTCACAAGAGGAACCCCAAGTAACAGACAGGTAACGCAATAAGCTTAAGTCCTATAGCTTGTAGAATAGCAGACAATTCATCCTTCTTAATCCTTGTACAAAAATTCTCACTCTTTGCACAGAGAAACAGTCAAACATTTGCAATATGTTCTGAATACCAATGACAGAATCCAAGTTGCCGTTAGTGAATATCAACAAATCATCAGCAAAACGATGGAAATTTTACCTTTTATTTGCTTCTGTTCCTCTATTTTTTTTATCGGAACTAAGATTTCTTCACCAATGCCTCTTCCTCAGCTATTAAAACAGAAGAAAAATATTACTAAAATGTGTGATTGTTTGACGGTTCGGCGATTTCATGCATAACAAATAAATATATCCTATAAATTTACGTATTATATTTATTTGATTTCAATTTACATTCATTCATACCAAATTTACTTAACAGAAGGGGAAATTAGAAAAATTACATTACAAATTTCTAACTTGATGCAGCTAACTTGTTTCGATGGTCTTTAACAAGTCATGTGAATGCACAAGACACTGTTACTTTTGTCACATCCGAATCCCGAATCCATAGGCCCTACACAGGATTACCTAAGCCTGGGCCTCAAAATTACAGCATAGCCTCAGCCCAACCTGAAATGATAACATGAAATTATTGCAAATCAATCTTTGCAATTTGCACACCTTCTTTGACTCACCCCTCTCCAAAAAAAAAAAAAAAAAGAGCCTTCCCCCGTGCTGTGATTGAAGCTGAAAGAAGAAGATTGCATGGTCACCAGTATTATAATGTGCAAAGATTCCTATCAAAATGATGCAAGTGATCCCCCCCTTAACCCAAAACATAGCTGCCTGTTTGTCTGATTAAGACCCATCTCCCTCAATCAATTTTGGCTTTCCTGCTCAATTAGTAGTAATAGGAATACCCATAGATATTAAATTATCTGACTTTGACCTACATGGACTTGTCTACTTTCCAAGTCTTAAGCAATTTAAGTACTCCAATTTCCTACAGGTAACATGAAAGCAAATCCAAGTATAAGTAGTAATAATAACCCAATGAAAAGGCTACATAAACGGAACATGACAAAGCCAAACATGAAAAAATCAACTGGCAGTCAAAAAAGCTAAAGGAGCTGAAGCTGAGCTACTCCTTCATCTCTCTCTCTCTTCTTGTCCTTGTCCCCAAACAGTCAAATGGCAGCTGCCCATTTTCCTCGTCTTTCTCCTCCGTATCCTTTCCACGTCTAATTGCCACCCATCCCTTCCAAAAAGAGAAGAAAAAAAAAATCCCTTAACTCGAACGCAAACTATCAAAACCTGCGGCAGCTCAGCCATGAAGAAGAATCTCATTTTCGTAACTTCCTCACTTTTTCTCTTCAATTTCTTCCTCTCGTTGGCCATCGAAGATGACATCACTTGCCTCGAAGGCCTGAAAAGCTCCCTTACCGACCCGGGCTCCAGTCTTTCCACGTGGAGCTTCAACAATCGCTCATCTACCTTCGTTTGCCAGCTTACCGGCGTTTCCTGTTGGAACGAGAAGGAAACCCGAATCATAAGCCTCCAACTCCCTTCGATGAAGCTGTCAGGTCAGTTACCGGACTCTTTGAAGTACTGTGGGAGCCTCCAGAGTCTAGATCTTTCCAACAACTCTCTCTTCGGTCCCATTCCTAATGATATCTGCTCTTGGCTTCCTTACCTCGTACGTCTCGATCTCTCTGGTAACCGTCTCTCCGGTTCTATCCCTCCTCAGATCGTTAACTGTAAGTTCCTAAACGACCTCGTTTTGGACGATAACAAATTGTCCGGTTCGATCCCTTACGAGCTCGCCCGGTTAGACCGGCTTAAACGGTTTTCCGTTGCGGGTAACGACTTGTCTGGCTCGATCCCTTCTGATCTGGCCAGATTTGGGGTAGACGGTTTTGACGGTAACAGTGGACTCTGTGGGAAACCGTTATGGAAATGCGGTGGATTGAGAGGTAAACATCTAGGAATTATCATAGTAGCCGGTGTCATTGGAGCCGCCGTTTCGTTAATCGTCGCATTCGTGATTTGGTGGTGGTTCTTTCTCCAAGCAGGTGCAGGCGAAAAAAGAAAGAAAAGTTACGGCGTTGAGGGTAAAGATGATAGTAGTTGGATTGAATTGTTGAAATCTCATAAGCTTGTTCAAGTTTCGTTATTTCAAAAGCCTATAAATAAGATTAAGTTGGCGGATTTAATGGTGGCAACGAACAATTTCGATGCTGAAAACGCGGTGATGTCGACGAGGACGGGAGTTTCTTACAAGGCGGTGTTGCCCGACGGATCTGCGTTGGCGATTAAGAGGTTAAGCGCTTGTAAGCTTAGTGAGAAACAGTTTAGGTTGGAAATGAATAGGCTAGGACAACTTAGGCATCCGAATTTGGTTCCACTTTTAGGGTTCTGTGTTGTGGAAGAAGAGAGGTTGTTGGTTTATAAGCATATGCCTAATTGGACATTGTATTCTCAGTTGCATGGGGGAAGTCTTGCTGGTTTCGGGAATGGGAAGTTTCAGATTTTGGACTGGTCAACTAGGCTTAGGATTGGTGTTGGTGTGGCTAGAGGCTTAGCTTGGCTTCACCATGCATGCCAACCGCCATATGTGCATCAGTATTTTAGTTCCAACATTGTGCTTCTTGATGATGATTTTGATGCTCGAATAACGGATTTTGGTTTGGCAAGATTGATGGGGTCTCGTGATTCGAATGACAGTTCATTTATGAGTGGGGATTTAGGGGAGTTCGGTTATGTGGCTCCTGAGTATTCGAGTACCATGGTTGCTTCTTTGAAAGGGGATATTTATAGTTTTGGGGTTGTGTTGTTGGAGTTGGTTTCGGGTCAAAAACCTGTCGGGGTTAGCAATGCAGAAGAAGGATTTAAAGGGAATTTGGTGGACTGGGTTAATCAGTTGCTCAGCAAGGGTCGAAGCAAGGATGCTGTTGATAAAGCATTGTTTGGAAAGGGTCATGATGATGAAATTATGCAGTTTCTGAGAGTTGCATGTTCTTGTGTGGTTCCTAGGCCAAAGGACAGACCTTCTATGTACCAGGTTTATGAATCGTTGAAGAGCATGGCTGAGAAACATGGTTACTCTGAACGGTATGATGAATTTCCATTGATCTTTGAGAAACAAGATCATGACTACAAGGAGTAACCTCGGCGGGGCAATGGGGTCGGAAGCACAAAAAAACTTGTTTATCTTGTTTGAGAGTTGCAGCAGTTGAACATATCCGCATTGTGTATGCTGTCTTCTTTTTTAAGGCATTTTCAGCAATTAGTACGATTTCCACTTGAACAGGATTCCCTGTTCTAATGCTTAATTTGTTGGATAATTCTGTAAATCACATGAAGCATTATGCACTGTAGTCACTAGCTTATATAATGCAGTTGAAAATTTTCCTTATTATCCTCGTAATGCTTAATTCAGCCTTGAATCCCCGTGATTTGTAACGAACTGCTCCATTTTGAAAGTGTCGTTTCGTAGGTGTACAAGATAAAAGGAACTCTGGATGATAATGTCAGGTTAATGTTGCCGAAGAGGAATCTGATTATCAGTTCTGGTTGCGATTCAACTTTTAACATTGATGTCGTTTGCGAGCTCCCAACTTGCTGAAATTGCTTTTTTTTTTATCAAGGATTCCTCAAGATTCCAACTAGTAAATTTGATTTATAAGGCTAAAATATCAAAAAAAAAAAAAAAAGTCTATGAATTATTTCACTTTTCTTAATAAGTTTTTTATATTTTTATATTATTTATATAAATTTTTATATTTTAATTTATCTCTAAATAAATTTTTATTTTAAATAAAAAATTAATTTTTATTAAAAATTTATTCAGATATAAATTAAATATTAAAGATTTATTTGGATACAAATTAAAAATTAAGAATTTATTTGAGTATAAATTAAAAATTAAAAATTTATTTGCATATAATAAAAATATAAAAATTTAGTTAAATAAAATAATAAAATTAAAATTTTTATTATTTTAACCTATTTATAATGATGCACTGCACCGTAAGCTCATAATCCTCGAATATTTAACCATGAATCGATTCCCATTGTTAATTTTTGCATTATTTTAATGATTATAACTGAAAGAATCAATTGGGCTAAGAATTAGCTAATTTAAGGAACCATGCAAACGGATTACATTTAAATTTCGTTGCACTTCTCACCTATATATTTTGTTGCGGATGATTTATTTATTTATTTGTTTTTTGGTACAATACAAGTTTAGATAGGAGGATGTCATACCATTTCAAGATTAGGGATGATTTATTTTGTTTTATTTTTTTGTATAATAAAAATTTAAGTGAGGGGGAGTTACTCTATTTAAAAGTCAGCGCAAAGTACATAATTTAACATAAAAATTTATGTTGAACTTATAAATTGTCCATAAAAAAATTATTAATAATAAAAATCGAATTTAAACATATTTAATCATTATAAATTCAACCCATCCAAACAGAAAAAAATCGCCAAAGATAGAAAACAAGAGGAAATTTTCAGTTTTCAATTCCATTATTAGGAAGCTTGGAAAGTTTTGAATGTACGTAATTATGTTAGTGTGATGTTATCTCATATCTAATAAATATATAATTTTTTATAATTTTATATTTAGATTGAATCTCTTCACTTATAATCAATCAATTTTAAGTTGATATTTAACATAATATTAGAGATAGATTTTCTTTTTGTTTCCCTTTTTTAATTCTTAATTTGTGACGTGAATTTTTTTTTTTTTTTTTGTTTATACACGACGGTGGTCTGTTAGTGCGATATATCTCACGTTTAATAAATATATAAATTTTTATAATTTTATATTCAAATTAAATTTTTTCATTTATAGACAATTGGTAGGTTTGGCTCTTTCACCTTAGTAAATAGATTAGATCTTTCACTTCCAGTTAATTAGTTTTAAATTATATTCTTAACTAATTGCACTGAATGGTGGCAGGAGAGGATTTAAAAGTTTTTAAGGGAAAGATGTAAAACCCTTGAACGTTGTTTCTTGTTTGGAAAAGAAGAGTAGAACCAGATTTTTAGGTTGGCAAACTCCCAACATTATATAGCTTATGGACAACAATTTTATGCAGTACTTGATCAGTTCATAAGATAAAATATTAAAGCAAGTCCATCAAAAGCCACTTTTAGAAGTTACTCTACTGAATCATCTGTGCGAGCCTCTCAGCTTTACATTGTTTTGCAGGCAGGCAGGCAGCCAAGGGGGTGAATAATCTCTTCTGAATCACTGCTCTATACTTTAGTTGATCAAATGTAGTCATTTGCTTCACGATTTCTCTCAGCAAAATGAAATATCATTTCTTGGTCCCATTTGACTCAAAAGGAATAATGTGTGCCCAGGCTCATGCATCTTTTAACAAATCTGAGATAATTCATCACGCATAAAAATGAAATCAAACTATGTAGACCGGAAGTGGAATCTTTTAGTAATGTACAAAAGGGTTGCAAATGCATTCACAAGCTCTTCTTTCTGAAATCTTACATTTGCAATCAAACTTTTTCTTTTCATATAACTAAGGCTGTCAGGATTATACCCTGGCCAACAAACCACACGGTAAAACTTCGTGTTTCAGGTGTGCAGCCTTGAGAGGGCGCTTTGACAAGGACTGTATTCAACGGATATCTATCCAGTAAACGTGACCTACATTTTTCTGTTTTCTTGTTTGTTCTTTCCGATGTGCATTTGCATTTAATCCCCTGACCAGTTATATGTAGGTTATGTACGCAGCCAACACAGCATTCCCGTGATGATATTAACTACAATCGTAGAAACAGAGCTTGATACAGATGGGATGGTCAACATTATCTCCTTCATCATTGATTGTTAATCTTTTTGACCTCTCCTTTTAGGTTGGGGCATGTGGGGTTCAGCTAATTGGCCAATTGCTAATCTATCATATCTGGTCTTTCTGTTTCTTATTTTTGGAGCAGAGCTTGTGTCCTTGGAAAACAAAAGCACGTGCCCCGGACCCCACTGCTCTGGACTCCTCCTCGGAGATTATATTTTCTTCTAGTTTTGTTTTGAAATTTTCAATTGAGATGGCAAATCTTTTTTATGGTCTCATCATCTGCGTGAACGCAATCAATCTAGTGGGGGAGGATTCTAAGTTCAGATCGAATGTTATCTAGCTTTTACTACTATGTTGTGTATCTGACAAATATACTGTTTGCTCCTGTTGCATCAAAAAAATTGCTTTGATTAGGAGCACTGATAGCCTCTCTCTTCCTACATCTTCTTTTCCATATGTTGAAATTAACCTCTAACTGAATCTGGAAAAGGGTGAGAAGAGTACATGAGTTTAGGGCCTCTAGGCTAATGCCTGGTCGGGGAGAACGAACAAAAAAAAAAAACAATTAAAGGATGATAATCTGCAGTATCCAATGACTTAAAGGCCAAGTTTTTTTTACAAGTTATAAGGATAATTGAAATCAAGTTTAGTTAATTTTGATCATTTAGAGGCTTTTTATTCTTTCATATTTTAGAAATATTAAAAAAATTCTACCAATAAACCTTAGACTGCCTCTGCAAAAAAACATATTATTTCCTGACCCTTGGCGTAATTTTGTAATAACGTAAAGAAAAGGGGCCGAGAATGAAAAAGAAGAAAATTGTGGGTCAAACTGAAAGAAACATTAAAAAAAAAAAAAGGGCAAAAAACTTTAATCGAAGAGGAGAGGAGAAGAAACGAAGAGAGAAAGGAATGGGATCTTCAAATTCATCAGTTGTTCTGCTCCTCCTTTCCTTCCCTTTACTCCTTCCCTTCTTAACCTCAGCTTCAGCTTCTTCGATCGATCTCCAACGGTAATTTCCCAATTTTTTAATTATTATTTTCATATGAATATAGAATGCTGATTTAATCTGATCTAATTTAAATTTGAGAATTAAAGCAGTGAAAAAGTCGGGCAAAGAGTTTTGATGAGCCTCACAGAAACTCCAAAAGGAAGCAACCGTACTTTCGATTGCTCACTCTCTGGGCCTTGCGTTCCTTGCCTTTACTCTGAGAAGGTCTCTCCTTTTTCTTTCTTTCATTTGGAATTCTATTTTATTTCTTCTTATTTTAGTAGTTCTTTTAATGTGTTAATTGAATTGTTACATGCCTTAGCTTCAATTTATAAAGTTTTAAAATTTGGCATAATAGAAATATTTATGTAGTTCAGTTGAGTTTTTTGGGAGGTGCCTTTCTTAATCTTTTAAATTTCAAGTATATTTTTTTTACAAAGAAGGCCGTAGTTGGGGGTAGGAGAAGGGCTTGTCCATGCTGGGATTTGAATCCAAAACCTGTTGGATGTCACCTTTTAAGGATGGCGAACCGATTGAGCTAAGATTTGGGTTCAATTACAAGTATATTTACTTAAAAAGGATAGTCATTTTCTGAGAAAATTGCAAAGATCTCCAATTTAGGACAGCTTAAACTCAATCAGTCAAAGAAGTAATATATGTAGCTGGTTTTAATCTGAACCTAATTTTCTTTGTCTACATTCATGTGAAAAGATGGATTAAATCAGGCTTCAAAGGTTTTGCTGCAAAGTCGTTACTCTTGCTACTAATCAGTGATCTTTTTCAACTTTTCTTGGTAATACCATTTCACATCTGAAAATTACTGTTATATTTCAATTACATTATTACCTCCACGCGTTACAGCCATTGAATGCCCTATTAACATTGCTTATAACCTTTAGACAACATTTGGTCATATTTTGCTATGAATTTGCTGTTTTTTTTTTTGTTTGGTATTCAGCCCTCTGCAATCTTTGTGGTCTTTTATCTTCTTCTTCTTCTTTTAATTGTTTGAGGGATTTAATTAGAGTACTACTTGTTCTCCAGAGTGACGAAAAATATCGATGTAGTGAGACAGGATATCGTATCCCTATCAAATGTGTAGAAACTGATGATGGTTTAAAGACTGAAAATAAACAAAAATCTGAAAAGAATAGATCTAATCTTGAAATCTCAGTCAGCAATGAAATTTCTAGAAAACGTAGAAGCTTACGTGATGATTCATCCACATCAGAGGGTGGGGTACGAGCCTACATTACCTATAGAAGCTGTATACAAATAGTTAACGAAGAGAAGTTGTCAGTACTGGGTTTTGAGGTATGTACCTTTTGGTTGTTATTTTTCATTTGATTTTTATACTTGATTGATTTGACAATCATGTTCTCTGTCCTTAAAACAATAATCAGGTTACATATTAAAAGAGTGTTTATTCTGGAATTTTCAAAATATATGTAGCCATTCTGAATGTATTTGAATTGGATGGTTGACTGTCTATTCCTTTTTGCTTTAGATCTCTTGTTTGTGGCTTTTTGCATCTCAATCTTCTTATCTGCAAGCAATATACCTATTGATTGGCTACATAAGACATTTGAACTCATACTAAAAGCTTTTCCCATGAAATTGGGTTTTTTTTTTTTTAAATTTATTTAGACCGGAATCCTGAAGTGTTTTCCATTGCTTCATATTCTATTCAGATTCTTTTTGCTTCTGTCCCTGCATAAAAGTGTAGATCATAATGAGAACAAAAGCTAAACTCAGTTACTATTTTCTTCCTTTAAATTTTAAAAATTCATGGGAGTAGATTGAGTATGTTTCTGCATCTCTTCCTTTCCAGCTACCCCTGTATTAATTTACAACTTATGGAACCCGCCTAGCCCTAGCCTTATGTTAAGTTAAACCCCTAGTTACATTTGTTGTGACTGATGTCTAATTTAGAAGTTATAAACAGCACGGAGCTGGAATTTCTCTTGGTGACTACTGTAATGTCAATGGAGTCCATTACACATCATATTGTCAGCCAAGAGTCCCCATGAGAATACAAAATCACTGATTGATTGTTTTTACTACTTTCTTACTCTTACATAGACAGACACACATGTAAAACAAATGTAGGTAATTTCTGAAATTGGAGGCAGTAATTGAAGATAAATATCTTGTACTTAGATTATTATAGGATTGCTGATGCATATACTCCAAACTACTTTGTGCAGGGAATTATTTTTGGCTTGTTGCTTGTTAGTGGTTCAGTTGTATTCTTAAGAAGAAAGCGGACCATTACCATGCCAGGAGTTGCAGCAGGGAGGATCCAGCCTAATTCTAGGTTTTGATCCCTTTCATTTGAAACAGACTTTGTTGATAACAGAGGATTATGAAGTAATTTAGTATAGAATTACAAGTGAAGCATTCACTGTTTATTTCTTTTTCTTTATTCTTCATCTTGGATTGAAATTGTCAAAAGTGATTTTCCCCAAGTTTAATCGTCCAACGGTGTTATTGATTCTTGATAGTCCTGCAATTGTTGATCGAAGGCTTACTCGTTTTGGTGGTTTCTAGTTGGTAAGAAATGATAGAAAGCTCCATTCATATTGAGGTGCAACAATGTCGTTATGATGCAACTCTGAACTAGATCCTTGTGTCCTTGTTCCGTGAGTCTTTGTTATTGCTCTGCTGTTTGTTTCTTTTGGGCATATTCTTGGCTTTATGTTGTGAACTTGTCACAAAACATTGCGTGTAGATAATGGCGTGTTTGTTGTGCCATCAGTTCATTGTGAAGTAGATGCACGCCACTGAATGACATCTTTTTGTTTCAATTCAAGCAGGTAAAATGGATTGAAATTTGAAATTGTATTTAGCTAGTACCCCACAAAATGTTTGAATTTATGATGCCACATGGTTTATTCCTAGTCATTTTATTCTCGGCTGGTCTGCAGCATATCAATCGGTGATGTCGAAGTTGATTGAAAACGAAAATTTTATGCCACAGAAACAAGAAAATCATATTTTGAGGAACTTGCCCAAAAAACAGAAACCGAATTTTGGGTGGGATACTATATTCATTTTATACTTTAAAATTGCTTTCGACGGTATAAATTTGAAACCTAATACACAAACTTCTCTAAAATTTATTTTGCTGTCTTTGAAGTTTTCCTATGTAATTCAGGGGAGTCGAACAAAAAGGCGTGACAGAACCCGTTGGAAAAATATCCGCTTTCCTTCTTGAAAGTGCGAAATTACAGAACATGATATAACACGTTATTGCTGCTTCCTTGTGATAATATACAAGACAACAGGCTATCGGGGCCTTCATCAGTACGGCTATGAGATTCTTGAGCACATAAACAAAGAAGCAGCAGCTGCAGCATCAGGGCAAACTCCAAATCAAAGAATGATGTCGTCGATGAACCGCAACTTAAAACAACAAAAAGCTTCTCGCTTCCAAGAAAAATCTACAGTGATACAGCAGCAAACAAAGACTAGAAACAGCTAGCAGAAATATAAAAAAACCAAAAAAAAATTACAAAAAATAATCAGGAGTCTTGCGTGTGGTGTCAGGCTCAACTTGCCGAGGTGCTGGATCAAACTGAAGAAAATTCTGGTCCATATTCTCCCCAATCTCTAAAATTGCAGCCATGTTCCCACATCGATAACAATAGTTTGGAGCGCTGAAGACAGTAACGACATTCTTCTCCTGAAGGAGAGCACATAATAAATAATAAGTAAATATAAAAGCAGAACATGTTACAAAACCAGGCTAAACTGTTTCTCTTGGGTCTCACACCTGACACCAATTGTATCCTTCCATAACGAGCTGATGGGCTCTTGAAATCAGAGTGAGACCATTGGTATGGTTGAACTGAGCAGCAATATCTTGTCCAAACGTGTAACCAGCACCACGTGGAGATATACCCCATCCACAACGATCATCAGGATCAGACCACAACAGATCACACATTGGTCCTTCATGAGGAACCTATGCATGAATAAATCCACAAAATACCATAATTACACAACCAACCAACCAACTCATGAATGAAGATCATAAAATTTCAAAACAATGCATCAAAGATCTGAGGAAACTTAACTGCAAAATTTCAGTTACACCCTTGACACCAAAGGAAATGATAAATTTTAATACAAAGATCCAAAATGTTGGCCATTTTCTTAACCATTCTGTCATTCATAATTTAATAAGTCTTCATACTTTTAATTGATTGTGTAAGATTCAAAGTACATAGTGAATTACCAGAAATCCACTTGGACATGGATCAAGGTGATTAAGAAAACTTGAGGGAATCACTTATATGCATACCTCCTGTATACGGTCCAATGCTCGAATATTGTCTAACGTGTCCAAAGATGGTGAAAGTCCTCCGTGCAAACAAAAGATCTGTAATGTCAAAATTTTATGGCTATCAGAAGCTGTGATGATATTAATCAACTTAAACAGTCTGCTACAAGTTAAAGTCAAACCTGACTCTCAATAAGAGCTGTGAGCGGTAAATAATCAAACAGGTCAGTAAAATACTTCCACACATTGGCATTTCCATATTTTCTCAAGCATTCATCATAAAAACCATACCTGAAAAGGAGAGAAAACAAAACTTTTAGAAAAACCATAATATAAGAACCCATATACCACTTCCTCATACAATGTGAGCAAGCTCTAAACTCTAATAATGAATCCCATAATTTTTCAAATTCTTGATTTTAAATTAAATTCCAAATGTGGTTCCCTTTTCATGAGTCACCATGATGTTCATAACTCCTGGCTCATGTCAATTTTGACATACTAATCTCTATTATACATGCATGCTTCAGCACTGGCATGTCAGCCTCAAGCCTTTTCAAGGCTTTAGTGTGACTTTAACATTGAGAAAGTTGAATAATCACAATCCAAATCTGTTTCATCTCGGCTCAAATTCATTTAAATTAATTTTATACTGTATTACTAGAATCCTGTAGGATTATTGAGCATGACACTTACCAATCTTGTTCTTTCACACAAGTTCAATAGTCAATAAGAGTTATAAATGTGATTTAGCAGAATCAGCAAATTGGCTAAACAAACATTTAGGCAGCATCCAAATAGTCATGCTGTAAGTTTTCTTCTATTTGATATAAAGAAAGTAGAAGTGAAATCATGATGAGAAAAATGAACAGGAGAAGAAAAAGGTGTGGTGGGAAGGGGTCATTTAAGCAGCATCCAAATAGCAATGCTCTTTAGTTTCCTTCTATTGGAAATAAAGAAACTGAAGAAGTGCAACAAAGTGACAAACAGAAAGCAACATTTTCTTTTTCCTTTTTTTTTTTAAAAGGCAGACAATTTCAAAAAGCAGGGAAAATGGGTACTACAAAGACCAAACCAATCTAAATCAAAGCAGAAAACCCAATTTCAAAATTTATTAGAAAGAATGCATCAATGTGATTTGTGTTTAACATTACATGAGCTTTATAGTGCTTCAGACCTTTTAAGTCACTCAACTTAACAAAGGCCAAACAGGAAATGAAGATATCAGCTGGTATTTAAAAGTAAGAACTAAGACTTTACTTGGTAGGAAGGATGAAAAATTATTCCAATGGTTAAATTTCATAACCACTTTCCTACTTTGTAGCCTAACCATTGGATTAACAATTTTTTCATCCTTACTCCCTTTCCATCCTTCCTACGAAGCAAAGCTCAAATGTTTTTTTCTTTGTCAGTTTATGCTATAGCATCACCAAAGAAAAGAAGGAAAGGTAGGTGAAAAGATCTTACACTTGTGTTATCTGTCGGCTCTCGTGGTTTCCTCTAAGAATTGTGATTCTATCTCTATAACGGACTTTCAGGGCCACTAAGAGTGTAACAGTCTCAACTGAGTAGTACCCACGATCTGCATATATGCAGCTAACGTTAAAAAAATTCACAGTCCATTCATAAATATAAATTTGCAAGCAGCTGTAATTATTTGATTACTAGGAAGCACTCTACAGCTTAATGAATATAATAATTGACACACCTATTGGCTAGTAGTTCTTATTAACAGCTAAATCCCCTGATAAAATGCACATGTTCTACTTACTCCAACAAGAATTTGGTCTCACAGATTTGAGAAATACAACTACTCTCCCTCAGAAGTAAGGAACTACTAGAGCACAGTTGCCAACAGTTTAGACCAAGCACGGCAAGATCGAATTCCATTCCCACCCAAAAATTCTCAACAGTTTTAAGAATCAAAGGAGCGATTATAAACAGTAAATTTATCAGAATCTTAGTAACAAGATAATAGATCATAAAACCATCGGAATTCGTACAATTTAAATATATTATCCACCAATTTATCAATATATGAAGGTAACCAATAAGCTAACTAATGCCTCTTAATTTTTTAAGCTAAGCCAGGGGAGTTTCATACCTACAGATCTGATCATATAACATTCCATCAATTAATCCACACCAAAAAAATCACATAAAAACATAAAATATTAAGAAAAATAACAAACGCCGAAATCAAAAAGCAAACCACGCATTCAGCTACAGAGACCAAAACAAATTGGACAAATATTCTTCACAAAATAAAAAAAAAAAAGAAAAAGAATAAAGAAAAACCGACTCGCTCCTAAATCAATCACATAAAATTTAAAAAATGGGACAAAAAGTTAAGGAAAAAAAAAAAAAAGAGAATCAAATCAAGAAGTAAAGTAACAAACTGACCTACATAATCTCCCATGAAGAGATAATTAGTATCAGGAGCATTGCCTCCTATCCGAAACAGCTCTATTAGATCATAAAACTGTCCGTGAATATCTCCACATACCGTTACCGGACACTTCACCGGCTGCACGTTCCATTCCTCCACCAGTATTGCTCGTGCCTGCTCGCACAACGCCTTCACTTCCGCCTCCGACAGCGGCTTACACTCCATCAGGTGCTCGATCTGACGGTCTAGGTCTCCCTGCGACGGCATCCTCTCTCCTCCTCCACCGTCCGATCACCTGATCTCCCTTCCCTTCTCCGGCTTCACCACTGACCGTAAAGTCGTGAAAATAAATAAACAAACAAATAAAAGCGGTCGGATCGGTTAATTTGGATCCGCGAAGCGTTGGCGAATAGGATCGTAACGCGGCGTTTTGGAGATTAGGTTTTGGAATCGTTTTCGTATCTATGAAACATCACTCTTCTATTTTCTCTCAAAAAAACGAAGAATCTTTCGTCGTAGAAACGAAAATGCTAAAGTGAGGCGGAGTAGAGGGAGAGAGAGAGCAGTCTAAAATGAAACTCAAATGCAAAAGTAAATGAAATGGCAAAATTTAAGCCTCTTTTTTATATAGTAATTTTTTTGTTTAAATTTGAATTCATTTTTGCAATAATTGAAATTAATAAATCCAAGTATTTGTTGTGGCGATCGTCAAAATTACAATATAAGGAACAAAAAAAATTTTTTCTCTCTCTCTTCAGTCTCCGGTGGCTCCGCCGAGTCAAAATGTTAGAGGAAAAGGACACGTGTCCGTTAGCTGCATTTCTTTGAACTCATTTTATTTATTTCTTTCGTTGTCCCATTTAAGTTAGCAACCTTTTGCAATTGGCTCCCTCTTTTCTAAATTTTTTGTTTTTTTTGTTTTTTTTTTAAACAGCATTAGTCAAGGAATGCATATCAAAGAAAAACTAAAAGATAGTGAAGGAAGAGAATTCTAATGTCGTATCTTTCTTTTGTTTCGATAACCAAATAGTCAAAATTGTGAATATATTCGGTCAAATAAAGCACAAAAAGAGTGATTCTGCTTTTGAATTGGGATTTGACCTTAAAAATTTATTAAAATTTATTGTAGTTTATAAAAATAGAGTGATTCTTCGTTTAAAAAAATAACACACAAATAAATATTCAAATTTTACTAAAAGTAAAAATAACCAAAGATCAATCTTTGATAACTTTAAATACAAAAAAAAAAAATCTTTGATCCTTTATTACATAATAAAATTAAGATTATCAATTTTTATTCTATTATAATTAGCATCTTGATATTATAAATTTTCAATTTTTATTAAAATTTTCGTTGGATGTGGTACTTATAGAATATGCTCATTTTGATTTATTTGGATGAACTGAAAAATAAATATTAAAAAAAATACTAATTTCAAAATTATGACAATTGAACTCTATTTATCAAATTTTAGGATTAAAGTGTATAATTACAATAAAACAAAAAAATCATAACTTTATTTTATGCAATACTTCTTTTCATTTTTTAATTAAAATTTGAGAATTTATTTAGATATTATTTTTTAAAAATATATTTAATTAATATTTTTTATAATTTTGTTTATTATTTTTTAAGTTTTATTATTTATATTAAAAATAGAATACGAACAATAAAATTATCAAACAATCAAAATTATAGATAAGGTCAAATTCTATCAATAATCCCTATATTTTATTCAATTTTAAAATTTAATTTTTTATTATAATTTAAAAAATATAGTTCTCATATAATTTTAATTTTATAACTTAGCTCAATCACTAATTTCGCCAAAATTTTGCCATTAAAACTATTAAGGTGAAATTGAATTGATGACATATGTATTGATATTATTGTGGTTGTATTGATTTTTCTTATGTCACATTGACATTATTGACGTAACAATTTGGATAGTTGAAATCAGTTGTCAAATTAAATAAATGATTTCTATACTTACACAAAATTAAATTTTAGTCCCTTCAGTATAATTCATAAAAATTTCATTCTCGTATATATTAAATTTGATAATATTGATCTCATTATTAATATGATCAATTATTATGTTAATTTTTCTAACGTGACCATTGGCGTTTAAGAAAATATTTAAAAATAAAAAAACTAAAATATCATTAAAAATTTAAAACTTTCAAAAATTAAAAAATTTTGATTTTTTTTCTAAATTTTTAAAATTTTTAAAAAACTTTAAATTCAATTTTGCTAATATTTTAATTTTGTAAAAAAAAAATCATAATTTTGAATTTCTTGTATGAGATTTTAATTTTGTAAAAAGAAATTCAAATTTATTTATTTATTTAATTTTTATTTTTTCAAATATTGATTTAATTTGTCCAATATTTTAATTTTTTTATAAAATAGTATTTCTTATATTTTATAAAAAATTCAAATTTGAATTTTATAAAAAATAATTCTCAATTTCTATCTATATTTTATATTTTAAAAAAAATCAAATCTCAATTTTATAAAAAATAAAACCCTATTTTTTTTTATCTAAGGTTTAAAATAAAAATCTCTACCTTTTGTATTATTTTACTTAATCTCACTATAAAATTCTCAAAAAGATACCTCACTTCTTGTTCTCTTCCACTTTTATAGATCAAAAGTAATGTTGTAAATAATAGAACAACCTCTTTAAGGCTAGGTATTTGCTAAGTTTAAGTATAAGAAAATGATGAACGAATAAAAAATATGATTTGGATACAATAAATACAAAGATATAAACTTTAAAGCTCTACAACTTTTGATTTCTTTGAGAAACAAATATATGACTTGTTCGATCTTACTCTCTTGATTCATCATCCTTCTTGATGTATTGGAATGCCCAATATATAGAAAAATGAGGAACTAGCCGTTTAGGGATAGTTTGGAGTTGAAAATAACCGTTGAAGTTTAATAAACTAGTTGTTGGAGTGTTTTTGGGCATGAATCAATCACTTTATACGAGGGATTGATTGGGTCAGTTGAAATAAGACCAATATTCGTGCTAAACAAAGGCTATCCGATCGATCAAGTAAGGGACCTAATCGATCCCCTACCCAAGTGATCGATCTCTATATAGGGGAATCGATCTCTTCTATAAGTTTTTAACCCCAAATTCTTTTTGTATAAAAAAATGGATCGATCCTTTAAAGGAGAATCGATTGGTCACTTTGAAACCCTAACCAATTGATCCTTATAGGAAATGGATCCATCTAGTCAAGCTGGGTGGTTGTCACTTGTTTTGTACTCTACTTAGTAATTTGATCATATCTTGAATTATACAAATCTAAATCAAAAATCGTTTGAAGATTTAGAAACTAAACTTAAAGGGTTTTCTATTCATATAAAATTCATCACTTAATTCATTGATACGAATTATAATGAATTTTCAAATCTACCTTTTGTGTAGTTTTTAGACTACTACAAAGTGTTTAGTAAAAACTCAAAATCTTTTCTTAAAATATTTGAATTTTGATTTTATTTGATTCATTAGAAAGTAAACTCAAAGAGCTTTCCAACCATATAAAATTCAAATATTAAAACTTTATGAATTAATACAAAAAAATAAAACAAGTTCAATGTTGAAAAATTTTATCTTGTAAAATAACTTTCTTAAGTAAATCTATTTCTCAAAACCAATATTATCAAAATTGTATTAAGTCTAAAATGAATAAGTTCACTTTGAAAACAACAATTGGACTTTTATTTAAGTTTAAATAAATAATGTTTAAAGATAGTTTTGATTTGAAAAATAAGAAAACATAAAGAAACGTTTGTTTAAATTTTAAAAATCATATTATTTATTTTGTATCAAAATATAAAACTTAAGAACATATACTAAATAAATTTTTTTCAAAATTTTGATCAAGTCTATTTAGCTTAATGTTTTATCATTTTAAAATAAAGATCAATTCAAGACTAACAAAATTTAAAATTTTTAAATCCAAAAAGTTCAAAATTTTAAAATTTTAAAAAATTGCTGATTTATAAAAAAAGTAAAAAAAATTATGATTTTTAAAAAATAAAAATATTACAAAAAAGTAAATTTTAATATTTAAAAAATGGAAAAATTATAAAAATTCTAGAAATTGAAAATTATTTTTTATGAAATTGAAATATATTTTTTAAAAAATGACCAAATATTATTTGTTAAAAATTAAAATATTGGACAAAATTGAATTTACTACAAAAAATAAGAACATTTCTAAATAATTTTAATTTTAATTTTTTTAAAAAAATTAAAATTTTGTTATTTTTTGAAAAGAATAAAATGTTGAAAATTTTTGAATTTAATGTTTTTAGATATTTTACGAAATTTCAAAAATTGAATGATTTTTTAATTATTTGAAATTTTAAAAAAAGTTCAGGTTTTTTTTTTTATTTTTCAAATTTTTTATGTCCAAATGTTATTAAAGGTCATATCAATAAATTAAGTTATAACAATAATAACAACAACAATAAAAAACTAGAGGACGAAAGCATAATTGATCACATTAATAATTGGATAAACATTGTCAAATTCAACTTATACGATGATGAAATTTTTATAAATTTCAATTTTTCTGTGAGTATATGGACTATTTGCATAATTTGATAACTAATTTTAACTTTCTAATATGCAACATCAACAAAGTCAACTCCATGTCATTAAGTCAATTACGTTTGATAATTTAAAATATGATACAATAAGATGATACAAACATAATATGATAAACGAATATGAATGTGAGATAGTTTAAAATTTTAGCAATAATTATATATGGGTTTAACAAAATAAAAAAATGTATTTCATATTTTTATGTCGATACAAATTATGACATATAATTTTCATATAAAATATGATATAGATACATGAATTTTAATATTTTATATGACATGAATACACGAATCATTAGATCTAAAGTCAATACCACGTCAATATTTTTGTTGACAAAAAATTAATGGAGTTAACAATTTGATTAAAATTATCAAATCAAAATAGTATGAGCACTACATTTTTATAAATTATAGTAAAAAGATTAAATTTTAAATTTTAATAAAATATAGAGATTATTACCACAATGAAGACAATTTAAATAGTTATCTCATATTCAATTATAGCTACTTAATCATGACCATTAATATTTATTAATTTTTTTTATTTTGTTGGCGTTTGATTATATATATATAACCTATTTAAAGTAACCTCTTTAAATTTAAAATCTTGTTGATTTCTATCAATTATTAATTGATTGACACCATTTTTTTTCGTGGCAATAGGAACAATAGAACTTTTGACTTGCTTTTAGCCTTTTGGTTCTTGCTAGTAATCATCAAAACAATTATTTTATGAGTTCCTTCATAATAAAATTTGCATTAATTATTTTGTTTGTTTCAATAGTCTGAGCAATAAAAGATTTTTTTAATTTTTTCAATCATCGTAGCAATTAAACTCCTCCTTTCTTCTTCTTGAAATTCAAAATTTATGGTCTTTATTTTTTTTCTTTTCTTTAGCCTTTGAAATTCCTTCTTATAAATAGTAAAAGTTTCAGATGCCGATAAGAAATGTTAAACATTTTTATGTCACTTTCACCCATATTTAATGGTGTTGGGAGATGGGTTATAGACAAAAAAGGTGTGATACCTCAATCCCACATCAAGAGACTTTAAGGATTTATTATGATATATATAAGTTGAGGTTTAAACTAAAACTTGTAAGGTACTTTTTGTAAAATAAAATCGTGAGATCTTCGATCCCACCATGTAGCATTTAGCTCTCGTAGGATTTTAGAGATGGCTCCCACGATGTAGCACTTAGCTCTTATCTAAATAGTGATTACTCTGATATCATTTATGGATACCCATAACTAACCTATGAGGTATTATCTAGTTTGACT